GCAGAATCCATTCATCAATATATCATACGACCCTTGATTTTCAAGGCGCCGGAGCACCATCCTTGTTGTTCGTTCACTCACCCCATATATCACACGACCGTCGCTCCCTGAGCAGCGCGCTGGAGCACCGCCCAAAATCCACCACCAACACCATCACTCGACGGCCTTGTAGTTCAGGCCGTGAACCTAACAGCCGAGACCAGTTCCTCTCTCGGCTACAATCGTTTGGCTAGGAAGACAGATCAAACGGGCGCACCACTTATCCATCCAACACTCATCAACACATCAACGCACGGTAAACCGTGCTGGCACGCCCGCGCACAACCGCACCACACCCAAAAGCAGGAAACCCCGTGTTAACGCACATCCCCTCGGCCCGGAACTCCAGGCCGTGAGATTTGCGCGGCAGACAGGTAGTGGCTGTGAAGCAACTTTCAGTAGCATCTCACAAAGAGAAGAGTCAATTTGTAACCGAGATTGCTATGATATTTGCAGTCCAACATCGCAATCTAGTGAAATTGTATGGATGCTGCATCGAAGGAACCCAGCGCATTTTGGTTTATGAGTATCTTGAAAACAAGAGCCTTGATCAGACACTTTTTGGTAGGTTTTATAGAAACAGAATACTCTGCAGTTTCAAAGACTCTAAAAGTTCATCCAAGTTTTTTACGCAACCATTTTGTTATAACTATTCTCTGCTGAGGAGTGAAGTTTAAAAAAACCAAAATAGTAATATTCGAATCATATGAAAATAAAAACTTGCACATTCTTTTGCTACTTTGCCTTTTATTTTGCATAAAAACAGAATACTTTGCAGTTTAAAGTGTCAAACATAGAGAAGATTAAGTAGATAAAGTGGAGAATGTAGAGAGAATTAGAGCTGCAACATAATTTCTGATTTCAACTAGTTAGCTTGTTTCTATTTCTTATCATACATTTATACAAGTAATATCCTACAACAATACAAAAGTCCTCCATGAAACATTCCATGAAACAAGGACTACATACTTCAAGGAAAGTACTTCATAAAACAAGGAAAGAAAGTCTTCCTTGAAACAAGTGTGCCATGAGACAAGGAGTGTCTTGTGTTTTGTCTTGTGTTCCACAAGATGACAAGATGACAACTACATATGCTAACAGCTAACACTCCCTCTCAAGTTGGTGTATAGATGTCGTCGATGCCCAACTTGACCAGTGAATTGTGGAATACTTTGCTAGAAACTGCCTTGGTTAATACGTTTGCCAACTGATCCTCTGATTTGACAAAGGGACATTGAATTTCTTTAGCCTCAAGTTTCTGTTTAATGAAGTGTCTATCCACTTCAACATGTTGGTGCGATCATGTTGAACTGGATTATGTGCAATAGATATTGCAGCCTTGTTGTCGCAATACAAATTCGTCACAGATGTAAGGGCATATCCTATCTCGGTAAGCAATCTTTTTAACCAAAGGAGTTCACAAATTTCTTTGGTCATACCTCTAAATTCGGCTTCTGCACTAGATAAGGCAACTACATTCTGTTTCTTGCTTCTCCAAGTCACCAAGTTACCTCCCACAAATGTGAAGTAACCTGATGTAGATCTTCTATCTGTGATATTCCCTGCCCAATCTGCATCGGTATAGCCACTGATATTTAAATGACCGTTTTTGGAAAACATAAGTCCTTTCCCAGGTGTCGACTTTAAATATTTAAGAATTCGAATAACATCATCCATATGGTCTTCACTTGGACAATGCATAAATTGACTAACAACACTTACAGCATATGTGATGTCGAGTCGGGTATGTGACAAGTAGATCAATTGTCCTACTAATCTTTGATATCTTTCTTTGTTAGTGGGTACTTGATTAGGATACTCTCCAAGATGGTGATTCTGGACGATTGGGGTGTCCACGGGTTTGCAATCTAGCATTCCTGTTTCTACCAATAAATCTAGAAATACTTTCTTTGGGAGAGAAATATGCCTTGTTTCGATCGAGCAACTTCAATGCCCAAGAAGTACTTGAG